TCAGTAGAGACCATTCTTAATATCTTTGCTCGTCAGTAGTCTTATTTTTCTTTCTCAACACTTTGTTTGTTAGTAGAGTCCTTTTTTACATTTGGATATTTTAAAATTGTCTTGTCTTTGAATCGTCAAAGACAAATCGTCAGTAGAGTCCTTTTTAATATCTTTACTCGTCAGTAGAGTCCCTTTTTCTTTTGATATTTTTATTTTCTTGTCAGTAGAGATTTTTTTAATATCTTTCATCAGCAGTAGAGTCCTTGTTTTCTCGACATTTTTTGCTTGTTAGTAGAGTCCCTTTTTAATCTTTTAATTTAAAAATTATTAGTAAAGTTTTTTTTTATTATTCTTGCTCGTCATTAGAATTCTTTTTCTCCTGACATTTTTTTGCTTGTTAGTAGAGTCTCTTTTTGTCTCTGGATTTTTTTATTTGCTCATCATTAAAGTTCTTTTCGGGGTTTTTTGAATTATAATTGTTTCAAATACACAATTGCACTTGCATGAAAGTGCATCTCGCAGCTGCAGCTTCGTTTTGCTTCGCCGTGCTGGAATTACAGCTCATGTCGAATTCCTATCTAGAAACTATTTCCGTGTCCGAAATTAGCCTAGTGGCGAGTTGTAAACAATATTCAATGAGTCATGTGAATTATATATTTGTGAGATGATTTAGTTTGCTCGTCAGTAGAATCCCTTTTGCCATATTATCATTTATTACTCTAATTCTAGTTTTGCTCGTCAGTAGAGTCCTTATTCTTTCTAAATATATCGATAGCATTTTCCTAAAGTTTAAGTTAGATTTGCTCGTCAGTAGAGTCCTTTTCCAATCAGCAGTTTTATTTGAAACATAATTTTTGCTCGTCAGTAGAGTTCCTTTTTTAAGAAACATTTGTCTATTAATTAACTTGCTCGTCAGTAGAGTCCACATTGTCTTAACATTTTTTCTATTAATATTCTTCACAATTTTAATTTGCTTGTCAGTAGAGTCCCTTCTGTGCTATTATCATTTATTACTCTGATTCTAGTTTTGCTCGTCGGTAGAATCCCTTTTCATTCTAAATATATCGATAGCACTTTCCTAAAGTTCAAGTTAGATTTGCTCGTCAGTAGAGTCCCTTTTCAATAACCATTTAAATTTAAATCAACCGTTTTATTTGAAACATTATTTTTGCTCGTCAGTAGAGTTCTTTTTGGCCTGGCTATTTTTCACCATTTTTTTACTCTAGCCCAATTTTCATTTGCTCGTTAGTACAATCCATTTTTTGTTTACAATTTAAATCTGCTCATCATTTGCGACAATTTTAGTTTAATTTAGTTTGCTCGTCAGTAGAATCTCTTCACCTTTATTAGTATTTTGCTCATGAGCATAAAATAAGCAATTTAATTTTGCGTTGCTTCGTCAGTAGAATCCCTTTTGCTTTAACTTTTCTCAAATAAAATTTTACAAAGGTTTTGCATTTATGCTTGGTTGTCAGTAGAGTCTTATTCTTTACTTTATAATTTTTACATAAACACAGCTTGTCAGTAGAGTTCTTTCTCTCTTAATATTTTATATAATTGTATTATTATATTTTATTAATTTCTTTAAGTTTGATTAGCTCGTCAGTACAGTCCCTTTGTTTCGAGTATGTTACAAGTTTAAATTTAGATTTGTTTGTCAGTAGAGTTCTCTTATTTCATCTTTTAACTTCCCGTAGGGTAAGTTATAGTAATCGTCCAAAAGTCGAATATAAACATTTTTGTTCACGTTTCAAAGATTTCTGAACATTCTTCTGGCAAACCTTAGAAAAAGTGGATGTGTGTGTGTATGTGCGGATACAATCTTTCATCGATGTTTTCGGGCGCACGGATCAACCGATTTGAATGATCTAAAAAACATTCAATTAGTAATGATTGGGAGAAGTGTTTATTAGTTTTTGGCAAGGGTAGGCCCAGCGATTTCGAAGATACGGAGCTAAATGTGCAAAAAATGTCAGTTTTTGAGTGAACTAAGCGTCCGATTTGAATGATTCTAAAAACATTCAATTAGTAATGATTGGGAGAAGCAACTCTTAGTTTTTGTAATGGGCATTTTAATTTTTTTTTTATTTTTCCAAAAAATCTTTTTTCAAATATCGAAAATGATTCGGATTTAATTTTAATACTAGATAAATAAATTATAGAAATGTAATTTTGGGTTAAAAAATTCAAAAAATTACCCGGACTAACCACACATTCTAAG